ACACAAGAAACACTGAGGACAACTACAAAATAAATACATGAAACACTGAAGACACACAGAACTCAAGAATGAAAAAAACACACTAGAACATAAAGAAACACTAAACACTGAAAATACAAAACTAAATAATACCAAATCATGACACAAGAGACCATCACCTCTGAACCTGTTAGTGATATTATTGTATTTCTGTGAGATGCCTTGTGGCAGTAGGGCAGTAGGACAGCAGATCTTGTCACATACAATTAATCCCTGTGTGGTAATGTATGTGCATGTGTTTTTCTTTTTTTGTATAACACCGTGGGAATGCCTGCAGAGAAAGAAAAAGGTATTACCCCTTGCCAATAAAACTCCCACGCTTCCCAGACATGATACGCATTTGCACATTCAGCACGAAACTGAGGCAACCAACAGGAGGATCTCAGATTTTCACCTCTGTTTGAAAGTTTCCTTTTGTGTCTCAGATGTCTTCAGTCACTTTCAGAAGCAAAAAAAAAATCACAATTTTTGAGAACATCTTTTCATGCCTTAAGTCTCATGATGGCTCTGAAGGAGAAAACTGTGTTCTAGTTGAACAGTTCATTCATTAGTCATTGGAAACACACACAATGAATGGCTTTCCATGTACTTTTCTCTCGTTACTCGTAATATTACATCATTGGATTATGTCATGAGAAAAATGGTCAAACACACGATTATCTTCATTCTTGTTTTACCATTGGTGTTTCTGTAAAAATCACAAAAAATGTAATACGACGGGTATGTCAATTATGTCATAAAATGAGTCACAAGCTACTAATACAAAAATAACTTGACTGACTCCTTCATTAAACACTAAGCATTATGTCCACCACCTAAGCCTACCCCCTTTTTTTTTTTTAAACCAACCACCCATTGTTAAAACAAAAAGTGGGCGCAGTTTGTTTAAACCTTTGGGTGTAGAAATGCTTTGTCATCAAGCCCACACAAGAATGGACTGGTTCAGGATGACTGTGACGAGGATGACTGTAACATTGATGGTTTCCTTCTGAAAAGAAGGAAAGTTTTCATGAATGACATGCTATGCATTAAAGCCAGCTAGGAGCATATCAGTGACTAAGCTACTGACATAAACGTGACATCATTTTCCAGTAAAGCTCTGTTTATTAATACACTGTAAAACATTAGCTTTAGCACTACTCCTTTTTATAAATTACCTTCAAGGCTGTTTCTATTTGATATGGAAAAAATCAAGTGCATATTAAATTACTTTTAAGACAATGATTAAAGTAGCCTAGCTGTGCACATCTCTGTAAGCTAACTATGTAGCCAGAGCTAGAAGGCTGTTAGCTTAGAGACTGGAAGCAGGCAAAAACAGCTAGCTATAGCCCTCTGCAAATAAAAAAATACATAAAGCCAAGCACATGTTTTCCCTAAAACTGCTATTTTGATTGACACTCACTGATACAAGTATAGGCCTATACAGGCTTGTCTAAAAGCTTATTATGGAGATCCAGGATGTAATTATCTTAGCTAGGTTTACTGGAAGCAGGCAGACTAAACTATCTCTCTTCAAGCTACATGCCTGCCTACACCCCTAATGTTAGCTATTAAGTAATCTCATTCCTTTTTTAAGGTTTATTCTGGGGCTTTTTGTGCCTTCATTGTAAAAATAGGACAGAGTCAGAGGGATAGAGACAGACATTTGGGGAGAGAGAGAATCGGGAATGAGTGGGAAAGGAGCTATAGACAATATTCAAGCTCAGGCTGCCTGCATTGAAGACTACCCCACTATCTATGGGGCGCGCACACTGACCACTACACTACCGGCACCCCTAATTATCAAATTTTTATGTGTAAAAATTAAATAAAACTAATGAATGAAATGTTATTTTAGTCCACGCATTCAAACTTTATTTTGACAGTGCTGTCACTGTGTTTTCTGTTCTTATGCTAAGCTAAGCTACCAGTTCTAGCTCTCCAATGACTATATGAAAGGCAGTTTTTATCTTTTTATCTAACTCTCTGAAGGAAAGCCACACAAATAGGTCCAAAAAGATCAAACTGCTCCCTTAATTGCAAATAGTAATGGATTTCTGCCAATGACACCTTTTGGTTTCATATAATTAGCCTTGCTGTGATTTCAGTAGGCTACTAGTAAACTGACAGTTTAACCCTGTGCTGACATGACTATATTACTGTTAAATACTTTCCTTTAATTAAGCATTATGATTTTGCATTCTGATTTACACAATATAATTTTTATCTACAATACATTTGGTAGGCTAATGGTAGTTCTGGTTTGTTTTGTTTTCTTTAACCAGGTGTTATTCAGTCATGACTTATAGGCATACACGTAAAGTTACTTTACTTTTCTACCGGCTCAGTGGTAGAGCTGGTCGTCCCCCAACCTAAAGGTCAGAGGTTCAATCCCCACTTCCTGCTGGTTGATGTGTCCCTGGCAATGTGAATGGGTAATTGTGACTTGCATTGTAAAAAGCACTTTAAGTCATGAGACAAGAAAAGTTCTATACAAGGTCGAGTCCATTCACCATACACTAAAATGGTGCCCTTAAGACCCAAGGACAATTTAATATGTTGGCTGCAGGAGCCAGGAATCGAACATGCAACATTCAGATTGGTAAACTACCCCACTCTGATCCACAGTGCCTCCTATATAAAACAATTCCAATTTTAAAAAGGTGAGGTGCTAAAGACATTTTGTTTGTGTTATTAATAGCATTCAGTGCTGTTTATATTTTCACTTAACACCCATTTTAACGGCAGCTAAACTGCAGTCTCGACAGTGATGGAAGATGTTGAGTTGAATCAACGATAATCTGCAGAGCTGCTGCATCAGACTGCATTAGTCCCAACTTGGGTATTAACTATCAACCATCTTCCCAGTGTGACATAGGCCTACTTTTTTTTTGAATGCTTAGTGTGTCTGATGTAATTTGGTCAATCGAGAAAATGAGAGAGTTTCATGACTTCACAGTGAAAGGGTGTGATGCCCCCTTAGGTGCTCTGCTGACTCAGATAATAGGTGCCTTACCAGAAGCACAGCCAGAGGGCAATGTGATGCACTTGACAATAAACTGGCGTCAATGCTTTCTCAGCGGTTGTTGTCAATAGCAACCAGTGGTAAATGAAAGGCAAGTAGAGACAAGACAAGAGCAAGAGCACAGCTTAAAAAAAATCTTGACGTTAAGTGGAAGTTCCAGTATTTCCCATATGGCTGAATAGCTGACTATAAACACAAAAACATGCAATCTAAGCAACAGCAGAAAAAACACATGGCTGCAAGAACAGTTTGTCCTCAGATGGCTCATTTGTAAGCAGAGATTAAAACGTGTGGAACTCAAGAGGGCATGCCATGTGCCTTCAGTGGGGACATTTGTTTGATATGACGCACACTCACAGACAACCAGTGATACAAGACACTGCATTTTTGTGATATCACAGCCCTTCCCAGTGTGTGTTCAGTTTGAATAGTGTAATGTCCACGGAGTATCGCCCCGTAGAGGTATGAAGGCATCACTGCACTTGGATACTGTTGCTATGTTTTGGCCAAGCCTACCTTTCACAATGTAAACAAAGTCATCCTGGGAATTTTATCTCAGATGTCAGAGAAGCAGAGACAGGTAGCTGTATCACGCACATAAACCACCATGTTGTGTAACAGAGAGGAATTTCCTGAAAAAAAAAAAAGACAGAAATACTTAAAAAGAAAAAAAAGAAGAAGGAAAAATATCACAAGCAAAGTCACAACACAGACAAGGAAAACATCCCTACAGGAAGTCATGCTGACAGTTTGCATTTTCTGTACAACTTTCTGGAATGAAATAAAAAAAATGTAACCTCCTGGGGTGTTCACAGCATGTGCAATACTGGACAGGTAAGCACAGATCATACTGTGGAGCATGTTGGTTTCACAAGGGAGTCTCCAGCAGGAAACTTTAGAATGTTTCCCCTCTTCAGCACGCTGTGCACTGCAGGCGTTCACTTTTGTAGTGTAGCAATGCTGATATTTTCCTTTCTGCATAAACCCCTGATATGTTGCACGTTAATTTGATGTGTTTTCACAATACATCACTGTTTTCAAGCATGCATCATTCATTCACTATTTTTAATCATCAGCCTACAACAGCAAGATCTTTTCCTTGAATTTATTTGCCATAATAAAGGAACAGATGTGGCAAACTCATACGCAGGCCTACATGAAAAACCAATGAAAAACATGTGACTATAAAATTTTAAAAAACACTCACACTAGCAGAGTGTGCATTCATGTCTATATGTTTTTACCCAAGCCTCTTGTCGTTAGTCAGTAAAATAATGCTTTTTTAAAAACCCTTAATAAACCGAATAAACCAGACCAACACAACATTTTAGTGAAATAAAATGTATATCATAATGTGTGTAACGTTTACATGTGTAGGTGAATGTATCTGATATTCAGTTGAGGCAGACATATAAAATTATTTTGGATCTATTTTGTGGTTATGACACAAATAAAAAAACTGTTATAAGATTAGACAATGTGGTTGTCATAGTGTAGGTGTGAGCTATATGCTCCATAGTTCAGTTTAAATTCTGGACATCAGTTTATAAACTGGATTTCTCTTTTTGAGTGAGTTGAGGTTTGGGCCCCTGTCAGACTTAAAGTGGGAAATAAATGGAAAATATGTAAAGTGTCTTTGGTTAGCGACTTGAGAGACATAATTTCCCCCTGCAGAAGGGAATTCTTGAAGAGCCTGGTAGGGACTGTCTCCCTCTCATTCATGCCCATACAGTCTCATTCATTGAAAGAAATAAAGTCATGACCCCTGTAATACATCACAGGTGAAAATAGGTGTCTAATAGGAAACTACCAGTTTTCTTTCTGACTGTGTTGAGGATGGGGGGTTTCTAACAAAAGCACAGCCCTGTGTGATTTCCCTATGCTTATTCAAGTCAAGTGGAATTCCCCACTAAGGCCCCGCCCAGCCGAGCGCACAAAACCCAGCGCGCCTCCCTTCACTGCACTAGACAGCCCTGACCCTTGGATAGAGACAGAACTGTGTCTTGTGACAGTCGCAAAGTCAACATGGACGTGCAAAGAGTTTCTCACCACAACCAAATGGATTATAACTTCGACAACATGGAGCCCAAACACGGGAAAATGTTGCCTTGCCACGATGACCGTTTTGATTCCGGCCTGGAATCCTTGAAGGAGGACGAGTTGGTGAACGAGTTTGAGGACATGAGCGTGAAACCGAGCGAGGAGCTCACACAGGAATACGAGCCTTGGAGGACTGCAGTGACTGAAGATGGTGACACGTAAGTTCGATTTTTGTACATTTATGCAATTTGGCGTTTGCAGATTTAATGCGTCGGCGAAAAATGCAGAAAGGTTTTGCACCAGAGCGCAGCAACTAAACGACAAATCAACACATTGAAAATATTTATATTTTGAAATGCAAAAAAAACCACCAAAAAAAACATGAGATTGTCGAAAGTAGCATGAAAACAAAAGGCCTTTTAAAGTTTGTTTGAGTGTGTGTGCAGCACAGCGCGCACCAAATGCGTGCGTGTGTGTGTACTTTGGCTGAGCGCGCAGTCTGGGCGGTGCTAAAGTCCGCTCTGCGAGTTCAGGAAAGTCCCTGGCCCACTGCCAGGAACTGATAAAGCATCAGATGTGTCAAGCCACAACTGGTGGAAATAACCCGACAAAACTCCATTCTTGCGAAACGCTCGACTGCTGAGGCTTTGTTCTTTTTTATTTGGTTGGAACCATTTCCTCTGCGTAGTTTTTTTTTTTTTAAACACAATTTTAACAAATCTCTCTCTCTTTTTTTTTTTCCATCCCACAGACTTCTACACTTGGCCATCATTCATGAAGCCACAGACCATACCTTTCAGATGATCAAACTGTCCCAGAATCACTCCTTCCTCAATGTGCAGAACCACCAGAGACAGGTAAAACTCAAACACAATTTAAAGCTCATTATTCAATTTAAAGCTCATTATTCATCCAATTTAACTGTAAAGTCCAAATTATAATTAAACATTTTGTACATTTGTTCCTCCTCAGACTGCGCTCCACCTGGCAGTAATCACAGAGCAGCCTCAGCTGGTGGAGAAGCTCCTGAAGGCCGGCTGTGACCCGCGGTTGTCAGACGACAGTGGGAACACAGCTCTCCACATCGCCTGCAAGAAGGGCTCTCTCTCCTGCTTTGGCGTCATCACCCAGAACTGCCAACGCCACCTTTCCTCCATCCTGTCCTTCCCCAACTATAATGGTAAGCATTTGTATAAAATAGCTTCTCTAAAAAGACTCCCACAAAATCCTGTTTCACTGAAGCTGTTCTTTGATGTGGTTTTTTAACTGAGCCTCTCCTGATTTCTCTCTACAGGACAGAACTGTCTCCACTTGGCGTCCATTAACGGCTACATCTCATTGGTTGAAACTCTTGTTCAGCTTGGTGCAGACATCAATGCACAGGTAGGTGTCAAATTAACTCCAAATGAAACCTGTTATAAACTCAATGATTTGAAAGAGGATCCTTGGAGATGAAAAGTGCAGGAGGAATCTAACATTATTCCTGTGGGTGTTTTCCTGTAGGAACAGTGCAGTGGACGGACGTCACTCCATCTAGCCGTGGATCTCCAGAACCCCACACTTGTCCGTCGCCTCCTTGAACTCGGTGCTGATGTAAACTGCTTTAACTATGGCGGCTTCACACCGTACCACCTCACCTACGGGCGCCATAACGAAGAGATCCGCTGCCAGCTGTACGAGAGGACGGCCCAAGAACTGAGGGCGCTGCCTGAGAGTGATTCAGACGAGAGTGATATGGAGGACGTGGACGGGTCGGAAGATGAGGTCAGTATTTCAGATAAACATGTTATAGTGATATCATCTTAAGGTTTTTTTTTTTTTTTTTTAAAAACAACTTTCTAGTTTTGGTCCCTAACCTTGTTTATGTTATTTCCCACAGCTGTACGACGACATAAAGTTTGGAAAATAAACCGAACTGTCCCCCGTCTGGTGGTGTGAACCACACTCAAGCTGCTACAGGGTTGCCCAGAATCAGCCCCGCAACGAGGGACACATCAGTCCACGTCCCCCGTCCAGGCCCAGGTCCAGGTCCAGGTCCAAAGAGCTGGTCCTGGGATCTCACAGACATGAATGAAGACGGCGTAAACCATGGTCAAGTCCAGTCCAGATCATGAGACGATCTGAAACCATAATACAGCGAGACAACGACCTCCATGTTCTGTAAAGTGCTGACAAATTGATAAAGATGTGTAAATATATGTGACTGTTGTAAAATATTGTAAATACAGAGATATTATTTTTTTTTACCTGTACAAATGTGTGAATTTTAAACACTATTAACACACAATGTTTGAGAATAAAAAATAAGTTTATTGAATATAAACACTTGACTGTTTCTTTATTCAGCCAGAGGGCCATGTTTCTTCTACTTGATGACTGTTTCACGGCCTTTCCACGTTGTAGATCATCTCTCGCTAACAGAGTGACGAGACTGAGTCATCAGTCAGACTTGTGAAAGAAACGCAGACAAAAAAGAAATGACACTCTGCCTCTTGGAACAGTCTGGGATTTCCTTGTTGGGGCGAGGTCACAGGGTCTCTGAGTCACCGTGCTGAAAGTCCCTTAACTTAAGAGGAACATATTGTACTTAAATATTCCACCCTGCTCTGGTCCGAATGCTCAAAAGCAACAAGGAAGTAGTATTCACTGGAAACACCAAAGAAGTGGAGGGAGGAAATGTCTTAATACGGGAAACTGAAGCAGAAAGAGATTAGTCTGTGTCACTGTGACAAGGAAACTGAGCAGCACTCCAGCTGTGGTGCTGGAAGAACTATTGATCATAATGCACTGTGTAATACTCTGAATCATGTAGTATGATGCACTGAAGTTAAAGCAGAAAATGTCTTTAAATGCTGTTATACATCAACATGTGTCTTTTAACTTAATAATAGAATAGAAGAGTATTACTCATGCATTTAAAACATTTTGGTTGAGTGTGAGCTAATTGTTAACTTCTTCATAATTGGACAGTAATGATTATTTTCACAATCTGGTTATGTGACTTATTGTTCACTCCATTAAATCAACTCATTTAGCTTTAAAAAAAATGTGAAATAATGAGAAATACCAAAGTCACACATTCACAATGATGACTTTTTCAAAGTAAGAGTCCAAACTTGAGCAGAGTTTCAAAATAAAACAAATATTTAAATTGAATCATTAAGAGAAAGCAACAAATATAAAAAAATTTAGAAGATGGAAACCTGAGACACGGGGCATTCTTGTATGATATATTATATCACAAATACAGAAATTCATTGTTATGTTTTATCAAACCCAAAAACATTCATGTATCCATAAAGGTTTTTCTGCGGTCGATAGTGTGATGTACACATAGTTTGCCGTTTCATTTTAAACAAAACATATCAAGTCATAGTAACAAGTGACGCAAGGCGTCACGATGAATGTATTTGAGGATAAGAAAATGAAATTAACAAAAAATTATACTTAAATGTGTACTTCATATAATCTGCTTTTGGATCTGGCCTGCACACCTGAACCATCTTCAAACAGAATTCTTTTACAGCCCTTCCTTTATATTAGTTCCTTTAACTTAGTTAATTTTATCCGCATTATGATTGTACAGCTCTTTGGTCATTTTTTTTTTTTTTTTAAATGTGCTTCATAAATACATTTTGCACGGATCAGATTGTAACTCCAGCACTGGTGAGAAGGAATCCCCTGAAATACTCAACACACCATGCTCTGATTACCAATCTGTAATCAGGAAAATGTCCCTGCACGATAAGCTTTAATAACAGATTGTATCACTGTGTCTCCCTATAATCCTCCATGGGGCGGTAAACATTAACAGGGTTGTTTACCTGTACAGGACTGCAGGGGGAATTTTCTAAGGACAAAGCTGTTACTTCTTAATGATAGTGGAGGTTACAGAGGCCGAGGTTTTAAACATTCATCCGAGCAGATAGTCCTCAGAAGACCATTTCTGCATTTAAGATGAAGAAGAATATTATAGCTGGATTTCTGAGTCTGTAACATCTGCAAAAAGACGCAAAAGAGAAGGAAAGGAATATGAGTGATTCAACAGGACGGATGGGAAATGGTCTTAAATAAACTGAAGAGTGAGTAGCTGATGACGGCACATTATTTCAGATCATGTGGTGATGATGAAGTCTTTGTTATGGTGGAACTAAACAGGGTCATTGAAGAGAATTGTCAACACACACACACACACACACACACACACACACACACACACACACACACACACACACACACACACACACACACACACACACACACACACACACACACACACACACACACACACACACACACACACACACACACACACACACACACACACACACACACACACACACACACACACACACACACACACACACACACACACACACACACACACACACACACACACACACACACACACACACACACACAGGGGGTCAAGTTTCCCCTTTTGCTAAGAGAAACTCATCATGTAGTAGGATGTTTCCGGTGGGTTGAAGTCGTCTATTTCTGACATTCTCAATGTGCCAAAATGTTAAGAGAACGAGGTCAAATCTGGTCTACATCACTGTGTAGTAAAAACTACCTCTCCACAGCACCTCTGTGTCGTGTGATTGTAGAGTACTCTGAGCCACAACAGGAAGCTCAGAGGAAGAACTCTGCACTCGCTTGTGTTCCCAGAAACGTTTCTTTCTGCTGCTAAATTCAACCAACAAATGAAAACACAGCTGACAGAACAGGGCTCGCATGCAAAGGCTTCTATGCATCTTCATGTAATTTAAATATGTTCGAACCGCTTCACAAAAACAAACTTCACAATAAAAAGAAAACAGATATAAAGACAAGGGGTTATTTTACTCCAAAAACTTTTTTTTTTTTTATTGTTGAATGAAACAGTGGGGGTAAATGTACAGCAAACAAAGATAACATCAGTCTCCTTCTGGGAACTGCATATCCCATCATGCTCTAACCATCCATCAGGTGACAGGGCTCTGCTCGCTCAGTCTCGCTCTGCCAGGGCCATCAGGTGGGTGTCCACTTCAGTCTCTGCCAGAATCCTGGAGAAAGCAGACAGGGCTCATGAGTACTGTATCCAAAAGATACATCAAATACAAGGGAACCCTAAATAAAGATTCATCGACGTACATTTTTTCATACTGACTGAAAATAATAAATTAGGTTTTTTTACAAGTAAAAAAAATCCTCCGCATGAGCTGCTTCCAGCTTCTCAAATTGGATTATTTCATACTTTGAGAGCTGGGCACAAGTCCGTTAATATGTTAAACATTAATTATCAACATTCATTACTTCATTCATTTCTAACCTGGATGTTTCTTAGAATAGTGATTAACGAAACATTTAACTTCCATTAAATTTGGTTTCCGTTAACGTTATATTTGTTACTTGAATTTAGACTACAGACGCTTTTGCTATCTATTTCTTCAACCCGCACATCTGCATCATGTGTGCTGCAGCGACGGAGGGTAAAGAAAGAAAGTCCCGTATCTACTCAAGCTCTAGTGAACAGAAGGTCCTGATTGGTCAAATGAGGTGTCTGCTAAAAGGTCATAGTGCATGAACAGCTGAATTTTTGAATCAATCGATGGATCTTTATGGATGTAATGTGTTTTTCATTCAGTCTTTTACTGGATTTTTTGGAATATCAATGTGGACAGAATAAGAAAGACGGGATGACATTTCTGCACAATGAATGACAGACGGACAGAGACTCTGCAACTTTCTTGTTTTGTCAATGACCCACAGTAACCTGTGTTCAATATAAAATATAGTTTGTATTGATTAATTCAAAAAAATTCATCATCATTCAAAGGAAAGGAACTGAACATTCAGACTGTTGGTTCAATAAAAGAAGCTGAAGAACATTGAATATATTTCAATATATTTCTTGGGAAACTGACAGGTATTTGGACAGTTTGAGACATTTATAGACAAAATGTTTCAGTGATAAAGCAAGAAAATATGCAGATCAAATGATGATGAAATGTATTTGCTGTTGCAGCCTAACCCCAGTTTATGAGAGAAAAATCAGCTTCAGTTCCATGAACTGACATGTTATGTCTTCAAGGTAAACATATATAGAGGCCTATTTGTATTTGACAGAACAGTCTCTCTTAAAATCTATTAAAACATGACACTGGTTGCAAGCAGAAATGCCCTATTGATGAATCGTGTTATGCCTAAGAATCGAAGATCAGAGTCACATTTAGGACTGCAGATGTTCTCTTACCTGAACTTGGGCTCCTGTGTTGTGACCACGCCCACCTCCAGTTCAGAGGGCTTGAAGTCAATGGAGAGAACAGTTGACAGACAAGAGATCGCCGTCTGAAAGGAAGTTTAGAGGGTGTTTATCGTATTTGTTTCTCTATTACACGGATAATTTACGGGACATCATAATTATGGTAATAAAATAATAAACCATACAGCTGGAAACCACCTGTATGGTTACTTTTACTTTCATGTTCCTCCACCTGAGTTCCCTGCCTGTAAAGAGATTTCATTTGTACCTCAATAGTTTGTTCAAAAGTCCAGTCCAGTTTCTTTTTTACTTTCTTCTCCAGGAAGCTGGTGGCTTCTGTCTGTTTCACTCCAGCAGCAGTGGCCTTAAAGCCACAGTAGTAGCCTGCTGGGTCGCATTTGTACACCTGGGGTCCCAACTCCTCGTCTACGCCGATCACGATCATACCTGCAAGCAACAGAGAAGCAATGAGGGACACATTTGGAAACACTGCTTTAAACTGTACAGACATGATTTAACCATCAAACTCGACAGTAAATGAAGAAATACACTCACAGCAGCCCAGTGGTCTCATCTCAGCGTTCTGCGTGTACACTTGCGAGATGTCAGCCATTCTCTTACACAGCATATCCACTGGGATCTCATAACCGTACTTGTACTGCCAGTTGGCTGCCTCGTAGCGAGCTCGCTGGACTTGGGACCGGCTGTCAGCTGGAAGACATCAGACACAGACAGTGAGAAGGAGGGAGAAGTGACAGATTTTATCCAAAGCATCAATTTAACTGTAAAGCAGCCATATTGATACATATTGATAAGATGAAGTGAAACGTTTGAAAGAAAAGACAGAAAGTGGCTCGCTTGGTAAAATTAACAGTTGTTAGGGTAGAGGAACAGTAAGCTACAGAGAACAGAGGTGATCATTAACACCCAACCCTTTCAACTTTTTCTAAATATTCACAGAAAATACTTGGTATTTTTCTATTCAAGAACCTTTTTTTCCCCTTATTTTTGTTTCCAAGTACTGAAAAACCACTGAGGGTCCTGCTAACAGAGGCCAACATAGTTTAGAGGAAAGT